CAATAATACTGTTCCAGCTTACATACAAATTCGACTTAAGGACAGACCTTGGGAACGGAACTCATTCTTGAACTGGAGACTACCTGTATTTGTTTCATATATATTATAAACCCCCTCGAACTATTCATTAGAGTTCAAATAGCTGAAAGCAGCATGCATATGCTTATAATCCTTTATATATATTTGGTATATATTTTAAATACTAGCTATTTGTTATCATGCAAATAGCCAATGATATTGGATCCCCAGGCTCCAGCTGAATTTATCACTGCTATTTTGTGGTGTCATAGAAATAGATAAATAGGAAATAAAGGTGATGCTTGACACTTCCCTGTGTAACATTTCCCAAGATACATAAAACTAAAGGTATCTAATTATTAGCAGTTGGATAAATATAGGGAAATCTTTGGATTACCATAACTATAAACTTTAAGCTATCTCATGGATCTCTATTTCAGTAATTCGGTTTGATTCATGTGATCTGTCTCTTGAAACAAAAAGAGGTCCCTTTGATTTTCAGGAATGCCTATCCTGAAAGGCAACATACATTTTTCATTCATCATACTGTTTATTAAATGAGCTGTGTTTTTTTAAAAAAGTTATACATACAACAATAATTTACAATATTTGGAGAGAACTGCCATCACCTGTTCCATTATATAGCTTCTCTGCTAAACAGATATGAAAAAGTAATTTTCCCCAGAGCTCTGTCTTATATTAGAGGTCTAAAGCACTGGTACTAATATGCACTAACTACAAGATTATATGAAAAAAATGGTATCAATTCAAGAAATGAGTTACACCGCTAAGTATAATTGCCATTATCACTTCAAGAAAGAAAGCAAGTCTCCAAATATCAGAAGCATCTCAGATCTATTTTTCCATGCAGTGGTTTATTTCAATTCATGATTATACAGCTGCTTCTTGTGTCTCATTGCATTGTGAGAAGCAATAAGATGCACATGATGTAAATATGTCTTAAAAGAGTTTGCTGTCAACACAGATTGCATTCTGTTTCTGTGCTAATGTAATTGACAAAAAACTTGATAGTGCTCATTATTCCTTTTCTTGTAAACAAGTTTCTTTGTGCCCACAAACAGCTGTGTTTATGAATGTATGCTTTCTTTATTATGTTGTCATCACATTGTGAAAGAACACTGCACAAATCCTAAGAATTCTTCTTAACAGCTGGCAAAAGGAAAACATATTTTTAGGAATAAAAGTATAATCCTAATATATTCTTAAACTTTCAAAAGAGTTTTATTACAATTGCTCTTTTAGGATTTCACATATTCATTTGAACTTTAACTAGAAATACAAAAGGAACAAAAAACATAGTTGTACAATTTTAATGGCATGTGTCTGTTACCTAGGTAAAAGTAAAGCAAGCAATTGTTGTATCTGCAAAATTAGAGGGATATTTAGAGTTATAAATGTATCACTATTCTTAACAAGACTGAGAAACAAGGATAGAAGGATGTCTAGGATAGGCCATGCCATCATAAACAAATTGAAACTTCATTGTGCTTGCTCTTATAGAACTGCTCAGTTTTAATTATTAAAAAGGGGGGGGAATGAATTTAAAAAGGGGAATGAACTCTCAAAGTTTATACTCCTAATTTCAATTACAAAATGTACTGGTGAAATACACAGTATTCTGCCCATGCCTTGAATTATTAGCAATTCTCGCTGTTATCTGCTGTTCTGTTTAAGCATACTTGCTTAAATTGTACTGATCGCCCCTTTTCAGAACTTCTACAAATGTCATATTTCAGTTGGAAAACAGGATGTTTTGAGTATTTCAGGATTTTTTTGAACTCAGAATACTTCCAAAATGCTCAAATCAGCACAATTCATGCTTGAAAACAGGTTTGCAATTCAGAACAGTTCATATTAAAAATATTTTGGACATTCTTAGCTGCAGCTATGAACCAGATTAGGAATCAGTTAATAACTAATATTCATGCTAGTTAAAATTGACCCAATTTTATTTTGAAAAAAGAATTACAGGATCTTTCCAATACTATTTTTAGTTTTATAAATAATAGTCTTCATATCTGGGTGAAAAAAAGTCCCAATTCCATCTTCCTCCTCCCAAATTATATATAACACAATGGAATTTGAAACCTTTGTTAAGTATTGTCATGAAATATGTAAACACAGATCTCAGGAATCCAGGCATTGCACTAGGGGAGTGAACTAGTGATATGTACATTGATAAAGCCTATTTCCAAGCAATGATAGCCAGTATCAATTTAAAAGATTGCCTGTACCATCCATGTACTGGACTTTCTTCACATTTTGTTGCCAAAATTGTGTGGTCATATTATATATTATACCTTCCTTTACCCCAAGTGATTATTTACCATTAAACTTGATTTCTTCTTCACAAAACCCAGTCTATTGAATTTGATGCTTTCTTTAAAATTTTCTTGGCTTCATTTTCTTCGCAACTTATTAGTTCTTCATCTTCTATGGGAGAGGAACATTTGCTCTAGTCAGCACATTTTTATACTTAAGCATTCTTTGAACAACCTCAAAATTAATTGACTTCTATATTTCAAAATAAGTATTTTTATACACTGTGTCAACTGCACTAAGTTGCTAAAATGAGATTTCTGAAAATTTCTGACTTGAAGAAATCACTATGTCATGTGCTGATCTGGCTTGCCTATAATGTAGAAAGTGGAGCCACTTCTCATGTTTCCTTTCTGCAACATTTCACTGGTTAATATTATAAGACAAATTCTGCAGATTATTTTAAAGTTGATGAACATGACAATAGGAGGAGAATAAGAAGAGACAAAGAAACAATATAATAGGGTACATTTTGAAATATTTTTTTTAAAAGCCATAACAAAAAATAGTAATTACCAAATCCCCATGTTAATGATGAACTCAAGTCTTTCTTCACTAAGGACATCAGAACAGATTCAGATATAAAAAGAGAGTAAATATTAGGATGTATTAGCAAAGCAATCACAAATAAAATGACAAATATATACTTATTTATGGAATGTATAAATTGCACCCCTCCATTTAGCATGTGCCCAGGGAAATACAATTTAAAAATATACTTAAAGCTTATTATGAAAAAAAAGGGAAAAACTCATATAGTGAAATTTGGAAGTGGCATTCAAACTGAGGAACAATGAAGTATTATATAAAATAGTGCAGGTTTTTTTCCCCATCTAAAACAATATAGGGAGCCAATCTCCCTTTCCTGAAGTTCTACAAATAGATGCTAGTACCCAAAATGGCAAAATATATAAGAAGGTTTCCAATTATAATCCTATACTGGGCATTGGTTCATAACACATTAATTTAAACTGTAGATTTAAGTAAAGCTATGCTGTTTAATCAGATAAAACAGATCTAAATATCTTAACTAAAATGTTTCTAACCAGTTACATATTATCTAGGATTTCCTTTCCTATTTTAAAAAAACCCTCTAATAGGATTCATTTTATACTTACATATATTTAATACAAATAAGTACAAAAACTGCAGATTTACCATTTTAGATTAATTTCCCCTGCCCTACTCTTTTGCATAACCTCCATCTAAGATAATGCTTACTATAAACCATAAGTGCATTATTTCAAAAATAATGTCTTGTTACAGGTAGTCCCCAGTTTAAGAACAAGTTCCGTTCCCAAGGTCTGTCCTTAAGTTGAATTTGTATGTAAGCCAGAACAGCATTATTGTATAATACTGTATGGTTAGTATTGTGTAATGAACTCAAACCATGGTGTATTTAACTCAAATTTTGCTGCAATAGACTCAGTTCCTAACTATGGGTCATCCGTAACCCGGGCGTTCTTAACCTGGGTATTCCAAATAATTGCTTTTATGGAGATTTAATTGGTGACTTCCTTAAAATGTAAATGATACATTCAGTATAGACTTCAAGATACAATAAATTCAGTAGTGCTTCATTTCAAGCCAATTGTATTAGAAATCTATCAGTAGAATTGACAGTTCAGACCATGCAATAATCCAGCCAAATTTATGAGAAACTGCAAAACTTTGTACTCTGTAGTAGGATTGATTATGCTATGTATCATATATGAGCATGTTCTCAGGTTTCTTTTCTAAACTTCTGTTAAATCTTTTAGGTATGTTGAATATTTTAAGGCTTTTATATATTAAATTTTGAAAGCTTAAATTTAAGGATTATAATAGCTGACATCACTAACAAAAACAGTACTGCTACTATTAATAATAATGGTAATAATTACCAGATCCCCGCATTACTGATGGACCTGAACATGAGTCTTGCTTCACTAGAATACCAGCCCAGCATTCAAGCACATTTTAAAAAGTCAAAGCAATAGATAGAGAAAAAATAGTGAATAATGTAGCCTGTGTAATCTTTCTTCTGTACTAAATAAGCATGCATACATTTGGATAGCTGAATAACAATTTAAAGATATAAGGCTGCTTCATTCAATCTGAACAAAGATGTGACCTAATATAAGCTGAAAGAACATAGAATCAAATGGAATTCTACTGTACATTCCATCTTCCTGGACACATTGGAACTTTTGGGACAATCTGTGGCCCTGGAGAACTTGCCCTTCCAGAAAATACAGTGGTACCTCGGGATACGAACTTAATGTGTTCCGTGACTCTGGGCGTATCCCGAGTTGGTCGTAACCCAACGCAAATTTCCCCATAGG